CACCTGCAGGGGGCACTGGTGCTACACAAAGGTGGAGGGGGAGGTGCCCCAGCCAACTCTCCCCAGGGACCAAAACCTCAGCCATCAGACACAGCCCAGGGTCAGCCCTTGAGCCAAAGAGACAATAACCAGCCACAAAAGGATGGTAATTCAGTCACTGCTGGCCAGATGGGACCCTGCAACCTTTCCACAGACGACCTTCATTTTTCCCAGTCGACACCTTGCAAACAAGACTAAGGCCGGGCGCGTTATTGCTGGGGAGGGGGAGAGAGGAGGGGGAACAGAGGTCCAGAGAAGCTGAGTGATTTGCCCTGATTGCCCAGTGATTACGGCTTAAAATAGTCCTTTTTCCAGGAAGCACCGCCCATTAGTTCATCCTTGGTTTGTTTCTGGGCATGACGAGGCGCCTCTGACGGCTTGCGTGTGAGCAGCTCTCGTGCGTCGTCGCCGCTCATCTTTCTAGTTCACACGGACGCGCAAGCCCCCCGTGGCCCCACCGCAGAGAATCGAGTGGACTTCCGTCTCAAAGACGGGGTCCCCAAGAGTTCTGACTCACGTTTTCGAGGTCCCGGGAGAATCTGCACGCAGCGCAGGGCCCGGCACACCTGGCCAGCGCTGAAGGATGTGTGCCCACTTCTCAATATCTCAATGTTCTCCCCGCTACTTTGGGGTCACGGTGACTATCCCCTAGTTGTCACACTTGAGTCCTCACACCTTCAGGGCTCTTGAGGGCACAGCTGGCTGGCTGTTGCCCACCCTGCATCCCCAGCATCTGACGAGGGGCCTGGGCCCTTGCTGTGCCCAGTTGGGACTCACCTCCAAGGAGAACATTACCTGCCGTTTCTGAAGAAGGCTTCCTGGGGGTCCTGCGTGGGCCCAGCCCCTCGAGTGGGGGGAGGTGGCGGTCTTTCCTCAGCACCCTGGGTGGCCTGTGCAGGCCGCCTCCTCTCAGCTGAACGCGGCTCTGTAAGAAACCCCCTCTGCGCCTGTGGGACAGAGAAGCACACGTGTGGTGAATGGTCTTGAGAACGTGTGCCCGGGAGCCCACGCACAGACACTGATAAAGGCGACGCTCAGACAACGAACGCCAAGTCCCCGTGGGGCGCCCGGGAGAACACAAGGCCTCCACCTCTGAGCAGCCTGTCAGCTCGGAAACTCCTCGTCCTTCCTCCCACCGTCTCCCCCGCTATGACACGGGGCTAGATTGTTGTCGGGACTAAATGAGATAGTGCTTACGAAATGCTTTCCATGAGACTTCGCACAGAGCAAACGCTCAGCGAAGGTTAGCGGCTGTGTAATTAAACACCGAATCACATGGGCTTGACTGCTTAACAGGCAAGCTTCTCAATACAATTCCCTGCAATGATGGAAACGTTCTAGAATCTGCACTGACCATGGAGTGGCCACGCACCACGGGCGGCTACTGAGCATTTGAAATGTAGTTAGTGTTTCTGAGGAACTCACGCTGACACTTTATTTCATTTTACTGAATTTAAATCACCACGTGTGGCGAACGGCTACTGCCTTGGACACCGTGGGCTCAGAGGGTCTGCTGTGGAAACATGGGCATCGTAGACTTGCCATGCGGAGAAGCCCTTCCAGTGGTCTCATCCCCAGAAACAGTATTCACATCCCAGTGGGAGGACACGACAAGGGTTGAGAAAGAAACTACTAGGCCTTACACTTATTTGTATCCAGACTTTCTTGGATCTACAGCTGTACGCCCTTTTTATTTTTTTTTTTATTTTTTTTTTTTTTTAAATTTTTTTTTCAACGTTTATTTATTTTTGGGACAGAGAGAGACAGAGCATGAACGGGGGAGGGGCAGAGAGAGAGGGAGACACAGAATCGGAAACAGGCTCCAGGCTCTGAGCCATCAGCCCAGAGCCCGACGCGGGGCTCGAACTCACGGACCGTGAGATCGTGACCTGGCTGAAGTCGGACGCTTAACCGACTGCGCCACCCAGGCGCCCCTGTACGCCCTTTTTAATATACGTAATACATCAGTGGAGTAAAACAAACACGTAATTCCTAGGTAAACAATCGCGCATTTATTAGGACATGCAACCGAAAGCAGACCAGCGAGCTGGTCCCGTGCCACCATTTTGCAGGCGAAAGAACCAAGACGCAGAGCAGCTGCCGTGTCGCCCTATGATACGCAAGACCGCGTAGCCAAGTGGGGCCAGACCCTTGATCCGGCGGCCCGCACCGTTTCGCCCAGGCCGCCATCAGCGGTCAGCTCTTCGAAAAGACCTTCGCACTGCCTCTCCCTGCCCACTTAAGTAACAAGGACGGCCTCTCTTTTACAAGCCCCAGTTCACAAGAACCCTACTCCCAGACACTCTTCAGTCTGGGGCGAAGGTGAGGCGACCTGCTTGGCCGTCTTCCTTTCTCATCTGTCTGAGCCGCTGCCAGCTTCCAGCTGCAATCCCCTAATCATCAGCGCCGCTCACAGAATTTTAAGTAAGATCTGCAGAATGCTGTATTCTCTTAGGAGCTGATTTTTATGGCACCAACAATGAGAAAGTGACTTTTTGTTCGTCTTTCTGCAGTCTACGCGTTTGGGAGAGGCTCGGCTACCTCCCTGGCCTTGGACAGGGGCTGTCATCCCCCAGGGGGCCCTGCCTTGTTCTCTGAAGCAGTCGCCCCCGCTTGTCAAGACCACAGGTTCCTGAAAGAGCGATCTGAGCCAGGGTGGGGAGCTAATCACAAGCCCCAGAACCAGTCAGGGCTCCTGCTGGGCCCAGACAGAGAGTGATTTCAAAGTGTAGAGACAAAGGGAGGGAGGAGGGTGGGGCGATGCGGGGAGGATTCTTCTCTGTGTGCTGTGGGTCACCTTTACCCCAAGCCAGTGGGTGACTGCCACAAGCCTTCAGGCGTTAAGAAAGGCACAGTTTGAACTGCAGAGAGGTTTTGCTTTTGGAAAACGGCCTAGTGAGGGACTGCAGTCAATGAAAATAACTAGGAGACTGAAGAGTCCCAGCCCCTGAACCCAGCTCTCATTAAGGTGGAATCTGGGCCCCCTTTGGCCCTCATGGGGGACTGCCTTTGGAGCAGTATTTGATTTGGTCACGGTCACGGGTCTGCTTCTCCCGCCCCTGGGCTCTCTCAGAACGTTCTGCGTGCAGCCCCTCGTGGAGCGCCGTCCTCTGGGCACGGACACACCGGGTGTGGCGGCGGGGGGGGGGGGGCAAGCCTGTCACCATCACCCAGGCCTCCTGCAGTTTAGCAGATGCCACGAATGCCCGTCTCGACCGCCTCCCCCCACCGCTCCAGATGCTGGGGTGTTGTGTTGGCTGCTGGTGACTCACATCTACCCCCTTCTCGAGAGGACTGCCCTTGGCTGACGGGAGCCATCTCGCCTAGAGAAACCTGGGAGAGCCTGCACACACCCCAGGAAGGGCCCCTGGCCACTGGCAGCTGCAGGGGGTGACAGCTCGGCCCCTGTGTCCCGTGGTGGCCACTCTCTAGGGCATTCCGCACTCCAGAGCCCCCCGTGGGATCAGGCAGGACTGGACACTCAATGCCACACCCCGCTTAGTCCTTCCCTTGCCCTGGTCTGCTTCTCTCACTCCTGAGAGCCCTCCCTCCGCAAATCACCTGTCCAGGAATGCCCATCTCGGGCTCTGCTTCTAGGGAGCCCGACCCCAGACACGTGATTCGCATGTTTCCCGTCTCCTCTAACCCCCATTTGCCTATTTTTCCCCCAGAGACGCTCACTCAGATACGTCCGACAAACATCCTCGGATACGCGAGGATCCTTATAAATACGTGGTGTCACTTTTGCGCGTGACGTTGTCCCACAAAGCCGTGCTTTTCCCCGCTGTGGTTTTACTCAAGGCTACCTTTTTACACTCTATCTAGGTTCCTGTATTTACGTCTAATTTGCTGTTAGCTGACCTGTAGAGTGGTTTACAGGGTTTTTAATAAGCTGCCACTTAAGGTCCAGATTTTAAATTGAATTCCTATATTCAGTGTACCCTCTGCCCTCTCGGTCTCTCCAGATGTCTGCCTTCAAGAGCCACCATTACTGTCACACGAGATCGGCACAACGTTTTTGTTTACAGGCCTCATGGAAAACTGCTCAGAGAAAAAAAGCCTTCTTGCCCCGCATCCGCTCCGGTGGGGACACCGGTGCCTGGTTAGCCAAGGTCAAGAGCTCAGGGGACACCAGTTTTAACTAGAGTTCAGTGAGAAGCTCTCCAAAGGAGGCAGGGTGAGGTTTTTGAGGCCGGCTGAAAGCCACCGGCCACCCTGCCTCCTCCAACCACACCCTCCCCACCCCACACACACTCACTGCCCCTTTGATCAGCCAAGTCTGAGGGGCGGAAGGCGGATCCGAGGAGAGGGTCTTACACGTTCATCCCGGGGGGTGAGGGGAACATGTGCTGTCATATCATCCCTTTCGTTTCATCCCACAGGGAACGAAGCAAAGCGATCGGAAGTGGAGGCAAGCAGACCTCAGTGTCCCGCTAAGCAGAACACTGTGGTCAAAGCTTCCAGGGCCTTGGTGACTGTGACAGAGGGTCACAGCCAGGTGTGGTGGCAGCCACCACACCTCGTTTGTGTCTCCACCTCACCTCAGAGACCGTGCCATCACTCCTGAGAGCCCTACCTCGTTGACCAAGGAAACTCGGTCGGGACTGAAGTGAGCAGTCCCCCGCCTCGGACAAATAAACACCCGCTTTACAAGGAAAAATGTCATTCTCGGCACCCAGTTTTCTCTCCGCCCCGCACCTTCGATGACTCACATGTACCTTGGGGTCTGCAGTGCACGCCTCCCCCAGATGACCCCCAATGCCTTCCTCGCTCACGCCGACCCACTCGGGACTTGACAGCTCATTGTTCCGTTCGGCAGAAGCTTCACAGAACAAGCGTTTCGTGCTTCATACGGCACTGGCCACGGTTACAAATGAATCAATAAAACCCAACTCCATGGTCCAGCACTCGCTTTGGGCACGGCGGAGGCGCGGTCTGTGGGCACTCTGGACCTCTATGCCTCTGGTTAATGTCAGGGCAATTAGGCATCCAAGTACGAACTTGCTACATTTTTCCATTTCCACTCTGAAAACAGATCCTGCATTTTCTAATCTCTCTCCTTCAGCTCATGGACTTTCCTTAATGAAAACAACCTCTTCCATTACAGTGTGGTATTTGAAGTAGGGAACAAACAAAGAGACAAATGACATCTAATGGAGGACCCAGAAATGAACTGCAGGTAGGAGTGGGAAGTGAAAATACAGCAAATAGGTGACAAAAAAAAAGGGGGGGGGGAATCAATCCGGAGGTCTGCAAGCTTTTTGTATCAAGGTCCAGACAGTAAATATTTTAGATTTTGCCGACCACATACCATCTCTACCACATATTCTTTACATATGTAACCTTTTAAAAATGTAAAAACCACCTCTAGCTCTCAAGGGCATACAAAAACCGGTCAAAAGTCGAGTTTGACCGATGGTCCGTAGTTCTCTATGTGGACAAAAGTAAAAATAAATCCTTCCTTACGTTGATATGTATACAGAGAGAACACAGGGGAATATCTTTCTGTGTCTGTGACACCGGGAGAGTGAATGTAAGGAAAGACCTCTTAGACAAGACCAAAAAGCAATGCTCGTAAAGGACAAGGCCGTTCCACCTGACTAGTATCAACATATTCACGTTCTCGATGATGAAAAGAAGTCCACTTGCAACAGTGCAGCTGGCGAGTTACTCTGGCTGACTACTACCACACTCACCTTTACACTGAAAACAAGTAAAAATGCAGATTGAAGTATAAAAATGTTCAAAACTTTATATTTAAAGTTCAAAACCCAAGTGAAAACTGAAACCTAAAAGGGGAGTTTTCATCTTGAGAGCATTTGCCAAACAAACCAGGTGAGCTTGATCTTGTGTTTTTGTTTATTTTTTAATTTTTTTTTTCAACGTTTATTTATTTTTGGGACAGAGAGAGACAGAGCATGAACGGGGGAGGGGCAGAGAGAGAGGG